CTAAGGAATATGGGAAAACTCCATAAAGAAGGTGTTTGGGTGCCTCATGAACTCTCCAATGATCATCGTTTCCAACGTGTGAACATTGTTTTATCTCTTCTGGTATGTAATGCATGTGAACTATTTTTGGACAGAATTGTCACCGGTGATGAAAAATGGATTCTCTATGCAAATATTAAACGCCCAAAACAACAGTTCAGTCCTAGACAAAAACCACTTCCGATCCCAAAATCTGGACTCCATCCGCAGGAAGTGATGCTTTGCATTTGGTGGGACATCAAAGGAGTATTTGATTTCGAACTCCTCAATCCACAGCGAACTGTCACTGCAGAGATCTATAATGTTTAAATCAAGCCCTTCATCAGAAATGTCCTTCACTCATCAATTGGAAAGGTGTTCTTCTTCTTCATGACAATGCACGTCCACATGTGCCATGTTTGACGCAACACAAGATTATGGAGTTGGGTTGAGAAGTTCTCCCCCACCCACCATATTCTCCACATATGGCACCATCGGATGACCATCTTTTTCATTTGCTGCAACACCATCTTAATGGGAAAATGTATGCAAATGTGGAAGGTGTTAAAGAGAACATTGACATGTTTTTTGCTTCTAAGCCAAGTGATTTTTTTAACAACCTGATTCTAAGATGGAAAAGCATCAGCGATAAGAATGGAGACTATTTCATTTAATGAATGTTTTGTTTTGATATATAATTTGTTTGGGTTCTTTCATCTAAAAAAATGACATTAATATCTTAACGACCTAATACAACTAAACTTAATGTCCTTAACTGGTCATACTGTTTCAGACATTTTAAGGTATATGGTTAAAAATGCCTTTAACAATGAGGGTATCCAAGTAATGATTCTAATCAGAATAAATTATGTTTCTTCTGTGTTGATTTATGACATTTTGTACAACTGGTCAGTTTCTTATAAGGAAGTAGCTTTTTTAAATTGTACATATCCTTTTGGTTTTGATATATATATTCTCAGCTTGCTTTTAAGCAGAAGCTATTAATAACTGTACATATATATATATATATATATATAATAAAACTAAGAATGTTAAAACTGGTACAATATATTAGATTATCCATTGCATACATACATAAAGATTTTAATATGAAAAAAATATGTTTCTGTTTCTTTCAGAATCATCTGGGGAAGACTTTATTTCCTTGAAATCAGATGATCCTGAAAGTTATGATGATAAGGAATCTACATCAAGATCTGGAAATGAGAAACATTTTGAAAAGTTTTCATATACAACTAGTATAAAACAATTCATTTCTGGGAAGGGTCCTGAAAAAAATAATGGTCAATCAGGTAGTCACCAGAGTATCAAAACATATTTTAAGTCTGTGAAATCAGGGACAGTTTCTAGAGTTTCTGAACATATATCAAAATCAACCCAGTTTATCAAACAAGAAAAGCCTGAAGAAGGTCAGAGGAAGATGCAGATGGTTGATAATGTAGGTCAGTTGTCAAAACATGCTCTACAGCAATTATATCCTGGTGAGTAGTCAGACTTGTAATTTGTTGTATGTGCAGTCATTGATTGTGTATTAGTTCCATGTGGAGTTTAAAAAGTTTCTTGTGTAGGCTAAGAAATATGTAAAGAATATGTTATACTAAGAAAAATATTCAAAATTAAAATACCTTCCACATTTTATAAATATTTCATGTCGTAAAGCAAATAACTGTGTATTTTAGTTATCAATGGTTCATTGTAACTTCTTAATTTTATAAAAACAAAAATTAGTATTTTCAATTAACCCTCTTGCCGTGGTCAGATGGTTAAGGCACTTGACTCATAATCTGAGGGTCACGGGTTCGAATCTCAATCCCAACAAACATGCTCACCCTTTCAGCCATGGGAGCATTATAATGTGATGGTCAGTCCCACTATTCATTGGTAAAAGAGTTGGCAGTGAGTGGTGATGACTAGCTTCCTGTCCTCTAGTCTTTTACTACTAAATTAGGGACGGCTAGCACGGATAACCCTTGTGCAACTATGCGTGGAATTAAACACAATTTTCATTACTCAGGCAATGCATATTTGTTATAGCCTTCAATCTTATTTGGTTACAGAGCCATGAAATAGACAACCAGACCCCTCCTGCCACGTACACCTGTCACATCCTCTTTTTCAAAAACTGCCAATAATATTATTTATAACCAATAGAAAGGAAAGGTTTTAATCCATTGAATGGCATATTATATTATGTTGTTTTCTGTACAGAAAATTATCAGTTTCTCTTGCAGTTTACCCTTTATTTCTGCAGGAATCAAATTGACGAGCCTAGCTGAATTCCTAAAAGCTCTTGCTGCATAGTTAGAAAGCCAGAAAATTTGTGATAGTTATGGGACATTGTCTGCTTTTAGCATGTTATTATTCTGTGTTCTTTGGTGCATTATTTAACTAAATATAAGATTAATTAGTGCACTACTACTATTAGTATAAAAAAAAAAGTAGGGTTAAGTGTCATCAACAGTCAACAGGAAAGAAAAAAAAAGTAAGTACTTTTTTCCTGTTTTTCATGTGTATTCTTTATTCATTATTACAAAAGTAATTCAAATGTAAAAATGGGAAAACTTTTTATGTTAAGGTTATATTAGGTGAAATAAATAATTATAATATAATATATTTTTTAAGGGGTATGCTTACGAGTAGGTCATGCGTAATGTAATTTGATAGCGTAACATGAGCTGCACATTTGCTGAGTGATTTACAACTTATAAAGGTGCATGTAATAATTAGAGAAGGTTCAAAGAGCAAGAAAACTAAAATTTAAATGTAAACAGATGTATACTGTTATGAGTTTAAAGCTATGTAGGATAAATAAATGTAGTTTCATATTACAATCTGAAGTCATTCTAGAAAATGAAATAGGGTAATTTGGATTTTTTTTTTTGTGGTTACAAGGTCAGTCAAATTGACGAACCTTGTATAAAGTTAGGATAGAAAAAATATCAGATAAAATATGAAGTTTTACTGAAGAAAAATGTTTAAGATTTATTTAGGAGGTTTTAGAGATTATGCATGTAAAAATTTGAGATTTTTGAGACAAAGAAAAGTATGTTCAATTTTAACGTGAAACTCTGACTAGAATATACTAATACTATTATATTCTTGAACAAATCTTTTTTTAAATTACTTCATTAAAAAATCTGATTTTTTGAGTACAAAAGGCTTTTAATGTGTACTAAAAGTTTAATGATAAAATTATAATAAGTTATATATTAATACCAAATAAAAGAAAACTATATCTGTAGTCTTTAATCAGACAATCACAGTGTAGTTTTTGTTGAATATTGGGTTTAACTTATTTTTAGTTAATATGTGTTATTTCACATCTAGGTTCATTACATCACAACTTAATTGAAAAAAAGTTCAAAAATGTAAAAAAAAAAAAAATTAATCTGAATGAATTATTATTTTAAGTGATGTCATGTCATCAGGTTTTGGATACATTTCTCATTTCATATATTTGTCCTCATCAGATAAGAATATATATTATTTAAACAACAAAAATTATAGAAATATTTTCTTGTCCTGTTTGAATTTTTAGTTTGGATCATTTTAAGACAGAAAAGGTACATTCGTACTTAAGCATTCAGAGTGAAAAAAAATTGCCTTTTTTGAACCATAAATTCACAAAATGTAGAACTGCTGGAATTTTTATCAAAAGTGAAAACCATAAATGAGATGTACAGATTCCTAGATTGTGAGGGTATTGGTGTTAAAAAAAAATAGTGGGGTCCAATCACAAGAAACATATTGGAGGCAAGTATATTTTATAGATGTATGTACATATGATGACATAACTTCTGAATGTTATTGTACCTCTGCATGGAAAATAATCAATAATCAACAGTAAATAGTTTTAAAGTTTTTGTTTCTCTATCTCATTATGTCAATATTTTGAAGTGTGTTCACACAAAAGAGGAACCTAAGTTCTTTCCACATGAGGGATTGTTGCTATGTCCATCCAGAGATAAAGTAAAATATTTGAAATGAATGATTTTATAATGAAAATAAATTTATTTTATGAGAGGGAATTTCCTTCCCATTGTTCCCTTCTCCGTTTTCAACTAGCACGTACTAAGTACAGAGTTGAGTATGTTATATTAAAATGCTTTGGAATATGTAAATCAGCAAGTCACAGGAAAACAACAGCTTATATAGAGTTGCTGTGGAATGGCATGTATTAGAACTACATTTTAGCATTGTTTGTTTTTTGTAGGTAGTGTGATGCCACTAAAATTGGCTACTTTTGTGAAGGGTATGTAACAGTCTTTTCTGATGCAAAATATTTATATACTCAGATCATAAAGAGATTGGGGATTTAGAATTTCCAATATATGGTTATCTCTTTTACCTAATTGCATTGGAAAACAAAAGATTATGGATCAACTGGGTACCAAGACCTGTAAGAAGTCATACTCAAACCATGGTAAGCAAATGTAGACATGTAGCACATGAGAATCAGTGAATACGAAGGTCAATGACAAAAGCCATCTACATGCCCCAGGCAACAGTATGCAGTAAAATCAAGAAGGATCTCCATCTGCAAAAGAGAGCAATATCATATGGGTTCACAAAGATAAGGCTTCTGTTGCACATTTCAAGCAGTTGGTGAAGGAAATGGGTATTCATGCTATTCCATATCAAGACATACTGGTCAAGTCACCAAACTTCATACCTGTGGATTATTGTGCAATTGGACTATTGAAACAGACTGGGAAACTTTTGTCTTTGTACACCAGATTGTTTAGAAAAGCATGCAGGGAGGGGTGGTGTGCTTACGACATGGCAGCCTTACTATGGGCCATTTTCAGTGGAAACTGTGCTGCAAGGCTATTGTCAAAATAATCACCAGATAGAGCATGACTGGACTTTGCAACATATTCTGTAACATTGTGGTAAGATTTTAAAATGGTTTTAATATAATGTACTCAACCCTCTGTATAAGTGCCATTTAGTGTGTGCATATGCATGAGACTGCTTACCATGAGACAAATTTTTATGTGAAAGGTTAAAAAGTTATAAGTAATTGGAGAGGTTAGATTGATGATGATGATGATATTGTCAGAGTATAATTTACTATATACCCCGTGTTGAGTAGTTATTTTTAATCCTTGGTAATTTTTAAAATGTAGAGTGGGTTATATCTATATGTATGTGTGTGTGTGTGTGTGTTTGTTGGGGGAAAAGTGCCATTGAAAAATTTGCAGCATCAAACAATAAGAACACTACATTGAATAAAGGAACTGTTTTCAAAGAATGCTCAAATTATATCACTGACCTATTATTTAATGAGCTTCATGTTTTCTTTCTTCACTAAGCATGTATTCATTAAGTTTTGAGTCTAATCAATATTTTTTTATTCTAAATGTTTTATTCTTAAGCCAAACTTGCTCAACACACTTTGTATGGAGGACGAATGACAGAGTCACGAAAGGCTGAAGTTCAGTCAGTTACAAAAGAAGCAATAGAAAAACTGCACAAGTATGCTCACTAGTATTTGTATTTCTTTTTCATAGTGTTATTTTTAAGTACTTAATATGTCTCCTATATCTTCTGATTTGTGTAGTATATTTAGTCAGTGTTTATATTATTAATATTTTTCTTAGTTGCACAATTTAAGGCATATTTTCATAGAAAGCCTGTTAGCATATGTGTGGGCATCAGGAATAACATAACTAAAGATAAGAGATGCATTTTCATAATCACCAGTTTCAGATCTCTGAACTCTTTTTCTTTTTTCAGAATGATACCTCACCCATGCACACAGAATAACATAATTCCTTCTCACATCTGCCTATGAGATGTGCATGCAACTAGTCTTGACATACCTCCCACCTAAAAAAATGTGTTTACTGTGAACAGCATTAGTTCAGGGTTACATCATGCAATAATAGTCCTTCATAAGGAGGAAGGCAACGCAACCTCCTTGTGCAGTAGATACTCCTAAGCATTTGCACCCAAAATAACTTTATTCTTTTCCTCATCATTGTTTAGAATGGATGTTTCAAAATTAGTAAATTGCTTGAGATTTGTGATGGTTGCCAACTGATCTAAATTTCATTTAGATTTCCTTGGTTTAGTGTTCATGATTCACATAAACAGTATTTTTTTTTCCTTTTAAAAGGAAAAAAAAATCATAGTGATGCTTCTTGCTATTATGGATTCTCAGATGATAGTAACTACCACCTTGTTTAATGATAGTGATGATGTTCTTAACATGGGACCTGTGGCTATTAGGGGATCACTGTATGTAGAGGACATGACAGCCTTTGTTCATTGTATTGTGGGTTCCCTCATGCACATTGGGTCTCCTCCTTCCAACCATTTGGTGAACATTTGCTCTCACCAATTTGAACATGATCAGGATGATGATGATTTTGACTGGCTATTTCTTTCCCCAGGGTTTGCTATAGACACAACTTTATTTGTAGGGGAAAATTTTCATCTTTCTAATCTCTTATTTGACGTGATTTTGAAGGTATGTTCTTTGTCTTTCTTCCTTCAATTGACATTAGGATCCATGCTGTCTTGTTTATTGAACAACTGCAGACACGTACTAACATGGTCGTCCTCCTTATCTACTGTACTGACATAAAATTGTCCTTCATTTCCATTTCTTGATATCCACCTGAAGAATGGATCCAATTTTAGTCTTCATTGCTTTCTTGCCAACGTCTTGCATTACTTCACATCTCTTCACGTTATGTTTGAGGCACTTCACCATGCTCTGGAGGTGTTTTCTGGAAAGCATCATTCTTTTTACCACATTGGCCCATATTCTTCATCTGCTCATCATTGTCTACATGAATTTCTTGTCTTTCTAAACCTTGCCATTCTGTTTCTGTTCCTAAGCCTGCTGAATCTTCATCTCCCCTTCTTGATGTCAGAGTCATCTCTCATCTTGTTGATGATTACCCTGTCAGGTCTGGCTTTGTGTGTGTGTGTGTGGGGGGGAGCATCTGTCTCTTTTCACCAGCCTTTGGTCTCCATTTTTGTCCAACATATGTGTTCTTCAGGTTCTCACCCACAGCCTATTTCTCCACTTCTCCTCCTTCCATTTCCTTTTTTCCTCCCCTGATCTTTATTTTCAGTGTCTCAGGAATGTGGTCTCAGATGTTTTTTTTTGTGAGCCTCAAGAAGACTATATGGAGGTTTCTTTTCACCTGGACTGTGGATGACCAAGGTCAATGTTGGATGCCTTTTTACATATTCCAGTCACCCCATTTTCCACCCGTTTTCTTTGTACCTTCAATTAGAATAGCATCTTCTAGTTCTATGCTCTTTCTTTGGACATTGTGTCTGTTCCTTACGCCATCAGTCGAGTCTTGGGGTATTGAACTGCCTTGTTAGTGAAGTTGGGCTGAGGTTCCATTATTACATGGACGATTGGCTTCTCCTAGCCCATTCTTGGGAAAACTCCTTTGTGTTTCTCCTCTCTATTCTTCTGTGTAAGGCTGCTCAGCTAGCTGTTATATCAAGTCTTCCAAATATTTTCTCCCATATATTTCATACATTTGGTAGTTTTTTTCAATTCTCATGTCAGTAAGGTCAGCCTTCACCACTCCACCTACAAGCAATGGAATGTCTTCTCACCAAGACTTGCTCTTCTCTTTTGTATTCTGTATGGGAGGTTCTTTTCCTTAAAACTCTGGCTTCCCACGAGCCACTTGTTCTTTTAGGCCACATACACATGAGCTTCTTCCAGTGGAAATTATAGGACCAGTGGAACCTTTCTTAAGCAGGATCTGTTGTCTTTAATTGTACACCTCCTCTTCTTAAGGAGGAATGTGCCAATACCAAAGTGTACATTCCCTTGCTGCTGCCCCCAACTAGATCTCCATTTCTTCACAGATGCTTAGGTGCATCTCTGAATGACAACATGACTTTGAGTGTCTTGGCTCCAGAGGAGAGTTCACTCCATGGCTGTGTACTTGACTTCTCACTGTTATTTGATCATGTTCCTATTTCCTCCTCCTATTTATGGATCATTTGGTCATAATCCATTCTGACAATTCCACCGTCATTTTTTATGTCATATGTCGGTGGGTGCCTACCTGTTCCAGGACTCTTTGCTTCCATGCATGTGAACTGCTATTTTGGACTCATTCCATTAACCCGATGACTACCGGCTACTAACTTTCTTAGTAGGCAATGCAAGTCTTGCTATATTTCATTCCAACAATAA